ATATATATATATTTGGTTTTTGCCATTTTGTTTTGCTCTTGAAAGTGGAGTTACACTTTAGGCTGTAATACACTTAGGGTGCACAATATTGTCTTCTTTTTCTTTTCTGCATCTGTTTACTTGGCTCTGATCTTGCTCTTGACTGACTTCCTGTACTGACACTCTTTACTTGGCAATATTTTATGTACTATGGGCTTGTCAATGCCAATAAATTTATTTTATTTCCAGTAACTGATTCAATCTTTTCCCAATTTTTTCCCCAAAAATGCTCTGTTGTGTTCCATTTTGTATAGAGCTCTCAGCAAGCTAACTGACACATGCTAGAAGATTAAGTCCACTGAACTTTATACATGGCAGCACAGTGGCTAAATGGTTAGCACTTTTACCTGGCAGTACTAGGGTCATTGGTTTGAATCCCAACCACAGCACCACCTGCCTGGAGTTTGCATGTTCTCCCTGTGCCTGTGTGGGTTTCCTCCCACACTCCAAAGACATGATGGATGGTGAATTGGCTCCTGTCTAAATTGGCCTTAGTGTGTGTATTTATGAATATAAGTTAGGGACCTTAGATTGTACACCCCTTGAGGGTTAGGTACTGATGTGAATGTACAATATATATGTATGTGTAAAGCACTGCATAAATTGACAGCACTATATAAGTACCTGTAATAAAATAATAATAAAGTAGTATTATTCTGAGAGATACTACATTTGTAAAGAAGTTATCCCAGAGCAGATTTATACTAGGTCCTTTGTCCACCATTTGTTCATCACTTCACAATGTTTATTTCCAAATGTATCTGTACATGGACCAACCAAGTCTTTGTGTAACACTTCAGTATTTTCTGTGTATTTTTGTATGTCCATTATGTAATGATGGAGGCTGAATCCTAAGTAATCAATATTTATACTTTTTCTATTGAAAGTCTCTACTCCCTTATAAATGGGCCATCTCTGAGCTGCAGATGAGCTGTTGCTGCATTCATAATCCTACACATCATTAGTTCACTGAGCACAAACACGAATATACAATATATATTCATTGCATGAGGAATCATATAATGGAATAATTAACATTTTGAATGCAGATAAAATGCCATCTATTTATATATGTTATTTTTTTCTCCCGCACACACACGTTGCATAATGTAACTTTAATGAGCAAGTTTTCATCTGTGTTGGAAACTTTCTAAGATTATGAGAGAACGTGATGTTTCTTGTACATGTTAAAGCAGGTATTATTATTATTATTATTATTATAATACAGGATTTATATAGTGCCAACAGCGCTTTACAAAATGAAGGTACCGTATTTTTCGCCGTATAAGACACACTTTTTCTTCCCCAAAACTGGGGGGGAAACGTTGGTGCGTCTTATACGACGAATAGAGAGAGAATCCGTGAGGCGTGGCCAAGGCCGTAGGAAAGGCCGCAGCTTTGGCCTATCTCTGGAGCGGTCGGCCATCTTAGTACACCCGGCCGCTGACGCGCGTGCGCACTGACGTCATCACCCCCTCTGCTCGTGGATCCTACCATAGCGCGGATCTACAACAACAGGTGAGGAGCGGGGCAATGCAATGTTACTGGCTATTATTACAATGTTGGGGGCAATGTTACTGGCTATTATTACTAATGTGGGGGCAATGTTACTGGCTATTATTACTATGTTGGGGGCAATGTTACTGGCTATTATTACTAATGTGGGGGCAATGTTACTGGCTGTTATTACTAATGTGGGGGCAATGTTACTGGCTGTTATTACTAATGTGGTGGCAATGTTACTGGCTATTATTACTAATGTGGGGGCAATGTTGCACTGGAACAGTGATGGTGATGACGAGTGGGGGGCAATGGTGGACTTTACAGTGATGAGTGGGGGCAATATTACAGTATTGGGTTCAGAATTTTTTTTTTTCTAGATTTTCCTCCTTTAAAATTGGGTGCGTCTTATATGCCGGAGCGTCTTATATGGCGAAAAATACGGTAGATGTTACAGTTACAATACAATTTGGTACAAGAGGAAACAGAGGGCCCTGCTCGTTAGAGCTTACAATCTAGGAGTTGATCCATTCCTGTTCCAATCGCTATTATAAACACACTAGCAATGTCTGTCTGTGTCTTCCTCCAATATTCCCAACGACATGTTTTTGTAAGAGGTAGAGTAAGGGGGAGCTGAAGCGACTGCTGTCTGGAGATTGGAACAACTCAGAACAATGGATATGTCACCAGCACCAGCACACCAGGGTCCAACGCTTTATTTGAATGATCACATCACAACAAAAGACAGCAATGTTTCAGAGCCATGCAGGACCCTTTCATCAGGCATGTGACAATCAAAGGGTCCTGTGTGGCTCTGAAACCTCAATGTCTTTTGCTGTGATGTCATTGTTCAGTAAAGCTTTGGACCCTTTCATTGAGTTCCTTGGTGGTGTGCTGGTGACATGTCATTTGCTCTTCCTCCAAAGGAATAAGCACTTAATGCACTTGAAGGAGAATAATGGATAAGCTTACCTGTGCACTCCTGTAACCCAGAACCAATCGACAACAGGCTAAAGCCCACCGTTGACTCACAGAAGCACTCTAGGATCTGGAAGAATCTCAACCATTTTATCAGAATCCACCCAGCTTCCTGATTGAGAGCTGGCTCAGGCTTTCAGCACATGGTTGAGTGTAAAGCCAGTTATACTCTCCAGCCTGGCGCTCCAGTGTGTACTGGAGGGGCAGAGCAGAGAGTGGTGACTGACAGCCACCGCTCTCTGCTAAGAGCTGATAGAGAACTGAGTGATCAGTGGTCATGTGATCACTCAGTTCTCGGGTTTAGAGCTGGCAAGGGACAGCAATGCTGCAGTGAAGAGGTATGGAGTATGGATGTTCTTTTTTTTTTTTAGTAAGCACAAACTTCTCCTTTGAAGCCAGTTAAAGCATTCTTTTTTATTGCAGTCTTGTCTATTAGAGGTGGTCGGGGGCATCTAACTCTTGCCTACCTAACCTCAGTCAGGAAGGTCATGCCAATATGAAGAATGGCGCATGTGTGCAAGTATCCATGCACAAGTGCTGGTTGGCTCATAGCTTCACATCAGGGGTTGCCACTATGTTTAAGAGTGTGTAATGATTGGTAGGCTGCAAGGTTAGATGGGCCAAACAATCTAGGCTGTAACACTTAGAACCTATAGAATGGAAAATGCTAAGTTGAGAAAAGAGTAACTAGCAATATCTTTTGTAACTTGGACAATTTGGGGTATGGCGCTCTCTCACTCGATCAGTGGCTGTGGTCAGGTAGCAGATAGTTTATCTGCAGAATGGGGCTCCTGTGTTCTCTGGATTCCTCCAACACAGATCACTCCAGGTGACAGCACTCCAGTTCATCTGCTCATTTGCTAGCAGTCAGCGGCCTCCAGTTCTTCCTCCCTCCTTCACACCCTCTTTCTGTGGTTCTGACCCAGCCCAGCCCGGACCTCCGGCATCCTGCACGGCTTTCCTCTTCAGAACTCACCTCCCTTCCAGTTTCTGGGATTTAGTATTTATCTGCTCCTGCCCATCATCCAGCTCCTCTGGGAAATGCAGTTTGTCATCTCCACAATAGACAGCGACCTCCTGCTAGTAGTCTACAAGTCCCACAACACTTTTTTTTTGGCAGAGTCTGTCTAACTGGGCTTCAGAACGCTGCCATCTTGTGTACATTTAACATCTTGCACCCAATATTTCTGTAGTGTGTTACACTTGCTAAAGCACATTCAGCATTTATTGTATGCACAGAGGTATAGGTGGAAATCTGCATACATGCATGTACCCACACTGGCTTCCTTCTACTGTTGAGAATCCAACCTTCCTTACACTAAAGCTACAAGGGGGCTTTAAAGTGTATATAAAGCCAAACCATTCTTCTTAGCTTTGGACAAAGGGTGGATGGGTTAGAGCCCCTGTCAGTTTTATTTTTTATGTCTGAGTCTGTACTAAGGAGATTCACACCTATTTTTAGCCTTATAAAAACAACATTTTTGACTTTTCATAAAAAAACTGGATGTAAGGGGAAATCTTCTAATGGAAAACCCGTTCTTATATTTGACAAATCTCTAATAGGGCGAATCCTTTTGCTTTGGAAAGAACTCCTTATATTTCCTGCTACATACACTTTAACAGATTATGCAATCAGTTTGTAATTATATTTGTTTAAGGAATATTTCACACCATACCATAATTCTTTACATCATTGTGTTTTTCTGTCCTGACCTTCTTATTCAAATTTTGTAGACTGATCAGTACTCTTAGATGAAGCACCAATGTGTACAGAGCCATATGGCTGCCAAGACCACCCTAAACTAACAGTAATGCACAAACCAGTTTCAAGCAGGCATATGGGCGGGCGTGGCCAGCTGTATGATACCCAATGCTAGGAAACAGCGCAGTCGGAGTTCAAAGCAGATACTACATGGGTCCTAGGTGAATGCTAACACAGTCTTTAGGACACAGGAGCAGTGAAGCAGTATAACCCTGAGATGGTAGTTTAGGGGAGCTTTACGGTAGTATATCCTCAGGCACAGTAGGTCAGTCCACCCCTGGTCACAACACAGACTGAGTTGGTCTTACCGAGGCAGCATATGCTGGAGGGGTGGGAGGCTGGCAGGCAGTTGACACAGGTGGCAGCTCAAATAGACCTGAAGCAAATGGTGTCAGCGATACTGGAGATTGTTGCTGACTACAGTACACAGTGGTGTCCCCTACTGTGTTCCTCCTTTCACTGGAATCTTTCCCTGGTTCTAGTTCTCTGTCTCTGCCAGACAGGGTTCCTCTCCCTACACTAACCACTCAAAAATGCATGTCAAAGAGAGAGGGGCACTGCTATTTATTAGCACTGCCCCCACCAAGATGGCTGCAGATGGTCAAAGTGCAGTGGCAGTATCCAATTGGGCTGCTGCTTTCCCTTGTGTCACCTAAAGAGGATGCAGAGGAATATCATTCCCCTCAGGACTTCACTCGCCCATTAGGCAGTGAGCACTACCTGCTGGGTGGAGTAGGAACTACATCTGCCAACAAGCCCACATACAAAAAGGTCAGAAATACACTATATTGCCAACAGTATTGGGACGCCTGTTACACACACATGAACTTTAGTGACATCCCAGTCTTGTATGTAGGGTTCAAGACTGAGCTGGCCCACTCTTTGCAGCTATAATAGCTTCAACTATTCTCGGAAGGCTGTCCACAGGGTTTAGGAGCGTGTTTATGGGAATGTTTGACCATTCTTCCACAAGCGTATTTATGAGGTCAGGCACTGATGTTGGACAAGAAGGCCTAGCATGCAGTCTCCACTCTCATTCATTCCAAAGGTGTTCTATCGGGTTGAGGTCAGGACTCTGTGCAGGCCAGTCAAGTTCTTCTACCCCAAAGTTGCTCATCCATGTCTTTATGGACCTTGCTTTGTGCACTGGTGGGCAGTCATGTTGGAACAGGAAGGGGCCATCCACAAACTGTTTCCACAAAGTTGGGAGCATGAAATTGTCCAAATTGTCTTGGTATGTGTCAAGGTCCTACCTTTTCCCTGAGGTTATGTTACTCCATGTGCTGGCGTCCATCTTGGATTCTGCTGTGCATGATGGGAATCCTTTTATGCCTTCAGGTTTCTGTGGTCCATCCCCCAGAGGGGTGTGGCTGATGACATATAAGCCTGTGGCCCACACATGCTCTTTGCACTTGTGTCTTGTGTCTTTGTGTTGCTATTACTCTGTTCTGACTCTCGTGACTCTCCTGGTATCTGATTCGGCTTGTGACTTGACTATTCTTTGTATTCTCCTTTGATCTGACCCTCTGTTGCTGAACCCGGCTCGTGACCTGTGATTCTCGTCTGCTGTCCTGTACTGTTTTGTCCTGTTGTTGTTGACCCCGGCTTGTCTGACTACTCTTTTGTCTCTTCCACCAGCTACACGCCATTGGCGGCGGCCATTACCGCAGCTGAGGTGTCTCGGGGGCCGCGACCTGGTTCCTGGCTGCGTCAAGTCCATCCCCACCATCAGGGGCCCTGGTGAAGGGCAGCCTGGGACTTAGACTCCGCGCCCTGAGGGACTTCGGTCTGTGGGTAGTGGTTGTCGTCAGCCAGTGCGTTACATTGTTAGGCCTGCCTGTCCGTTCCTCAGCTCCTGCCCTGACAGTATGCTGACACTTTAAGAGTTCCCTTCACTGGAACAAAGGGGTCAAGCCCAACCTATGAAAAACAACCCCACACCATAATTCCCCCTCCACCAACTTTACACTTAGCACAATGCAGTCAGGCAAGTAAAGTTCTCCTGACAACTGCTAAACCCAGACACGTCCATCGTATTGCCAGATAGAGAAGCGTGATTTGTCACTTCAGAGAACATGTCTCTACTGCTCTAGAGTCCAGTGGCGGTGTGCTTTACACCACTGCATCTGACGCTTTGCATTGCACTTGGTGATATAAGGCTTGGATGCAGCTGCTCAGCCATGGAAACCCATTCCATGAAGCTCTCTATGCAATTTTGTGCTAATCTGAAGGCCACACAAAGTTTGGAGGTCTTTAGCTATTAACTCTGCAGACAGTTGGTGACTTCTGCGCACTGTGCGCTTCAGCATGCGCTGACCCCGCTCTGTCATTTTACGGGGCCTACTACTTTGTGGCTGAGTTGCTGTTGTTCCCAGTTGCTCCCCACTTTGTTATAATACCACTAACAGTTGACTATGGAATATTTAGTAGCAAGGAAATTTCACAGATGGACTTATTGCACAGGTGGTAACCTATCACGGCACCACAATTGAATCCACTGAGCTCCTGAAAGTGATTCATTCTTTCACAAATGTTTGTAGAAGCAGTCTGCATGCCTAGGTGCTTGCTTTTATATACCCGTGGCCATGGAGGTGATTGGAACACCTGAATTCAAATATTTGGAGGGGTGTCCCAATACTTTTGGCAATATAGTAATACAAGTCAGGGCTCACTATACAGGTACTTACTTTGCTGAACTCCTCCTTAAAATACTAATTGTCTGGCTTTGTTAATTTGTGAGCCTCTGAGCTGGAATATGCATACAAGTTGGAGACTCAGAGTGAAGGTAGAACATTTGATATGCAAACTTGTTCTATGCCAGGAAATTTTAAAGCCATGTGAATAAAAATTTTCTTCCCTGATTTTTTTTTAAAAATGGAAATTTTGGAAAAATTTAAAGAACATTTAGTGTGTAGTTTTACAAATTGATAGTTATTTTGTTTCACTGGGAAGGTGAAATACAGTGTATGTAAAAGTATTTCCAGAGCCAAGTAGATAGGGACTTTTAAGTTGCTTATCAATAGACCGTTCAAATAAATATTAACATTTAGCCAAAGTTTTTGCGAATTACTGAGTTAAATTTTTTTTTATAAAATCTCCACATAGATTCATGGCTTAGTTGATATCATTTTTACAGTGGTGCATTAATTTTTCTCAATCCCAACATATTTCACCCAAAGGGGCTTCTGGGAAGAAGACTGCTGATTATCCAAGACTACATACAGTTGTGTTAAAAATAATAGCAGTCAGACATCACTAACCTGATCAATCACTGTTGTTGGTAAAAATGATATTTCTACATGGCAAATAATTTACTAGCAGGTGTAGTAGAGTAATAGAAATCCAACAGACCCAACAGTCATGACATGCATGCTGCTAATTCTGTGTAATTGAATCACTAATTGAAAGAGGCATGTTCAAAATAATAGCAGTGTGGAGTTCTCTTAGTGAGGTCATTCATTCTTTGAAAAACAGGTGGCAATTATTGCCCTTATTTAGGAAGGAAGGCAGCAAATGTTGTACATTTCTCTCTGAAATGCTGAGGAAAATGGGTCGCTCTATACATTGTTCAGAAGAACAGTGTACCTTGATTAAAAAGTTGATTGGAGAGGGGAAAACATATAAAGAAGTGCAGAAAATGATAGGCTGCTCAGCTAAAATGATCGCAAATGCTTTAAAATGGCAACCAAAACCTAAAAGACGTGGAAGAAAGCGAAAAACTACCATTCAAATGGATAGAAGAATAGCCAAAATGGCAAGGACTCAGCCAACAATCAGCTCCAGGAAGATCAAAGAAGGTCTAAAGTTACCTGTGAGTACTGTTACAATTAGAAGACGCCTATGTGAAGCCAAGCTATCTGCAAGAAGCCCCCGCAGAGTCCCACTGTTGAAAAAAAGACGTGCTGAAGAGGTTACAATTTGCCAAAGAGCACATTGACTGGCCTAAAGAGAAATGGTGCAACATTTTGTGGACTGATGAAAGTAAGATTGTTCTTTTTGGGTCTAGTGGTCGGAGACAGTTTGTCAGACGACCCCCAACACTGAATTCAAGCCACAGTACACTGTGAAGACAGTGAAGCATGGTTGCGCAAGCATCATGATATGGGGATGTTTCTCATACTACGGTGTTGGGCCTATTTATCGCATACCAGGGATCATGGATCAGTTTGAATACATCAGAATACTTGAAGAGGTCATGCTGCCTTATGCTGAAGAGGAAATGCCCTTGAAATGGGTGTTCCAACAAGACAACGACCCCAAACACACCAGTAAACGTGCAACATCTTGGTTCCAGACCAACAAGATTGACGTTATGGAGTGGCCAGCCCAATCCCCGGATCTTAATCCAATAGAAAACTTGTGGGGTGACATCAAAAATGCAGTTTCTGAGGCAAAACCAAGAAATAGAGAAGAACTGTGGAATGTAGTCCAATCATCCTGGGCTGGAATACCTGTTCACAGGTGCCAGAAGTTGGTTGACTCCATGCAACACAGATGTACAGCAGTTCTCAGAAACAGTGCTTATACAACAAAATATTAATTAAGCGATTCAAAGGAAAGCAAAATCTTCAAACATTTTTCAGTTTATATAGTGAATGTTTGAGTTTGTAAAGAAGAATACAAACACTGCTATTTTTCTGAACAGTCTAATATTCACTTTTCTTCAATTTATTTAGAGGAACAACACAAGTTTGATATATTTTCCTTCATGTTTTGATTTGGAATAGAATGTGTAGTGTTCCCAATGCATTTGTGTGTATGGAAATAAAAGCTATTAGAAGGATTTTGAGCTTTATTCACTTTTTTCAACACACTGCTATTATTTTGAACACAACTGTATAACAAAAACGTACAAAGTAAATGTAAATTAACAATAGGTACACAACCACAATGGCAGTATTTAATGTTAAATCTGCAGCTAGAGCCCAGTCAGACTTACCCTGATGTTTATCATTCATTTATTGAAAGAAAACTTAAACAAAGGTTCTCACATTGACATTGCCCGGGGGGTCTTTAAGTGACCACAGAAGGTATAAATGGACAAAACTGGAATAAACAGATATAACTCTATGTAAATAGAATAGATATAACAAACAAGATGTAGAGTTTTATTCTCCACTGGTAATTCTAATACTTACTATGTATATTCTGAAAAAGACCTCAAGAGGGCACCCATTCACAAGAAGAATAGATTACCAGCTTCAATAAACACATAAAAAAAAGTTAAATTTAAGTGATACTAAACCCACAACAGTAAAATCAGTCTAGGGGATGTTGGTTTTGGAGATTTATTGTATAATTAGGGACAGGGATTGGGGATTTTAGTAGGATACTCCAAAATTAGAACTATTCACAACTGAGGACATCTAACTGATCTCTTAGTTAAGCACTGCTGAAGTCCTTGCTGAAGACAGATAGAAGACTTCTCTTTAGGTTGTAGCAACAAGTAGTTTAGGATTGAGCAAAGTCCCTTGCAATAGCCACAGTCAGACAAGCTCTTCAGAACACCAGCCAGTGTTCCCTTTTCTCGGACTCACACTGACTAGACTGATCATTGGAGACAACGAGCAAAAGTGTGTGTGCACCTAGCTGTGGAAAATACTTTGTGCTTGGCTGCAGGTGAAGCAAGCGGAGACCTGGGCAAAGTTTGTTCTAGACCTACATAGGTTTATACTGACAAGTAACGTATTTATGTTTGGATGCTCCCACTATCTCCAGGTGCAGGGGGTGGTGATGGGCACACATTGTGCCCCATCGTATGCCAACCTGTA